TAGATCATGCCAGACAAATCTTATTGCATTCTTTGACCAAGTGACAAAATTAGTGGATGAGAGGAATGCTGTGGACATAATTTACTTGGACTTCAGTAAGGCATTTGATAAAGTAGATCACAACCTACTACTTGACAAGATAGAAAAATGTGGGGTAGACAGCATCACCACCAGATGGATCCGTAGCTGGCTGACCAGCTGTACTCAGCATGTGGTCCTCAATGGAACCGCATCTACATGGAGGGAAGTGTGTAGTGGGGTGCCCCAGAGCTCTGTTCTGGGCCCAGTGCTCTTCAACATCTTCATCAACGATTTGGACGAGGGGATAGATGGGGAACTCATCAAATTTGCAGACAACATCAAGCTGGCAGGAATAGCCAACACTCCAGAAGACAGGCTTAAGATACAGAAGGATCTGGACAGACTTGAACACTGGGCACCATCTAACAAAATGAAATTCAATGGTGAAAAAAGCAAGGTTCTACATTTAGGCAAGAAAAACCAAATGCACAGGTATAGTATAGGGGGTACCTTGCTCAATAGTAGTAACTGTGAGAGGGAATTCGGAGTCCTAGTGAACAATCACCTAAATATGAGCCAGCAGTGTGCTGTAGCTGCCAAAAAGGCCAACACAGTGTTAGGCTGCATTAACAGAGGGATAGAATCAAGATCATGTGAAGTGTTAATACCACTTTACAATGCCTTGGTAAGGCCACACTTGGAATACTGCATCCAGTTTTGGTCACCACGATGTAAAAAAGATGTTGAGACTCTAGAAAGAGTACAGAGAAGAGCAATAAAGATGATTAGGGGACTGGAGGCTAAAGCACATAAGGAACGGCTGCTGGAATTGGGTATGTCTAGTTTAATGAAGAGAAGGACGAGGGGGGACATGATAGCAGTGTTCCAATATCTCAGGGGCTGCCACAAAGAAGAGGAAGTCAAGCTATTTTCCAAGGCGCCTGAAGGCAGGACAAGAAGCAACGGGTGTAAACTAATCAAGGAGAGAAGCAACCTAGAACTAAGGAGAAACTTCCTGACAGTTAGAACAATTAACCAGTGGAACAACCTGCCTCCAGAAGTGGTGAATGCTCCAACACTGGAAGTTTTTAAGAAGAGACTGGACAGCCATTTGTCCGAAATGGTTTCCTGCCTGAGCAGGGGTTGGACTAGATGACCTCCAAAGTCCCTTCCAACTTTACTACTACTACTATTACTATTACTATTACTACTATTACTACTACTACTATTACTACTACTACTATTACTATTATTATTATTATTATTATTATTATTATTATTATTATTATTATTATTATTATTATTATTATTATTATTATTATTATTATTATTATTATTATTATTATATTAAGATATGAGCAAACTGAACAGCTTGATTCGCCACTACTCTGCAAAACGTATCTAATCCTAACCAAGCTTCATTTATGCAGTATATGCATCTGTGAGGTTCTAAATTGATCTGGTTAAGTTGATATATTTAATATTTATTATTTATGTATTAAATGTCTATGTTGCCCATCATACTGATACAGCGACCCTGTGTGGCATATAATGTAATAAAAAGTGCTAAAAACAATTAAAATATGAAAAATTGAATAGAAAAGTTAAAAATTAAAAACCAAGGCGATGGGCAGTCTGGGGATTAGAATCTTGTCTACCGTGTCAGCCACCCTCAATGTAGCAGACTCCTATCGGGGCCCCCAGCCGAGCGGGCTCTTCCGAAAGACTGGAAGAGTGGGGGCAGATCTCACCGCCCACAGGGTGGGGACCACAACCTCAAAAATCTAGTACAAGATCATAAATGTTCCTATCCACAGAAATCTTTAGTAAAAGGTGAAAGATTTATACAGTCTGGAGAGAAATCAGAGTAATATGCTTCCTCATGGCAATTTTCAATAATGGCATCAATGAATTTTTTTCGCAGTCATATTCCCCTCTCCTTTGAGTTTCCTTTGAGTCTAACCCTTATGTAATGCTTGGGAAGAAACACTTTTGAACAACTCACTCCTACTGGTGCATGTTGACTTTCCTCAGTTATCAACAGGAAGACTCAAATTCAGGAAGCCCCCAATGGCACTTGCAAAACATCTGTCCAACAACTTTAACATCAATTCCCAAGGGAAAGCCAAATGGGTCGCTGAATGTCCAGTTATAGGAAGACATATAAATTGACCCCACAAAAAAGTTGCCAGGCTTTGAACTACCACATCAGAAATGGACAATCCTGAATAGGATTCACATCTCCCATGGTGTCTGCTGGGACTCTCTGTATAAATGGGGCATAGTATCCTCTCCTCCGTGTGACTGTGGGGTCCCACGTCAAACAGTAGGTCACATTGTACCTTCTGTAAGCTGAGGGCATATACAGTCCCAGGATCTTATTTTTTTTAATAAAATCAATGCTGAGCTTCAATAGTTAGATTGCCTAGACATTGATATTTGAACATCTTTTTAATATTTATATTTTTTTGTTCTATTAATCTAGTTGAAATGTTAATTTATATTCCTAATTGTCTACGGATATTCTCAGTAATCCAGGTCATGTTTGTCCCAAAGGTGCTTTTTCAGGAGGCAGACATTTTGCTTCTTATCTGAGGACATAGATAAACCTCCAAATGGCCTCAACGACTCTTTCAAAGAATGTAAATGACCAGCTGTCTGCAAGGAATAAAAATCCTTCCATTCCCCACCATCCAGTCAGAGCTGGAGAATCTTCTTGGATGAGAGGTGAAACATCTTCAAAGAAAAACAAGAGAGTCCAGGTGCCTCCTGAAAAAACACCTTTGGGACGATTATATTGCTAGTCCGTGTATAATATGCCATATGCTAAATAAATAAATAAATCCTACCCTCTATTGTGGGTTAGACTTTAGTTGGGTTTACTGTGAGGAAAATAATCATTAAAGCAACACCAAAGCATTTTGGAGATAGAAATAACAGTTTACTTTATCGGAAATAACTTACAGTGAGCCACTGGGCTTCCTGCCAGCAGACTGCAGGAAAGAGCCCCAAGCAAATCCACTCCTGCCATTATGTATGTTGGCAATAACATTGAAATAGATAGATAACAGAAAGATAAAGAGATTATGTAACCACCCACTGCCACTTCCCCTGGAATGCTTTGATAAGCTATTCGATTGACATTGTAAATTTTCACATTTGTAAGTATCCTAATGGATAAATATTGGAGTTCTTCTGACTGTCTGTTGACTGTCCCTCACTCCAGGGTCCAAGGATTGGGAGCTAGGTTAAACACTTATACTATTTCTGCCAAAAAGCTATGATATATTTTTCATATTATAAAGTGGAATGCTCTTTTCACTACAAGTTGAACAGTCATATCCAATCTAGTTCTCTTTCAGTGGCTCACATTTGTGATAATTACTAGACATCAGTGTGAATATGTCAAGAGCATGTCTTGTCAGGTTAACCTTATCTTATTTTTTTAATCTAGCAATTTTCTTAATGAATTTTCAGACCGCTATAGACATATCTTAATTTCAACAAAGCACTTGACAGAGTACCCCATGATAGTCTGATTAGCAAACTTGTTAAATATATCATGGATGGTATGTGAATAGGTTCACATTTGAAAGTTAAAAACTGTATCAAAGCAAATCATCAATAATTTCTTATCAAAGTGGAATAAGTTATCAACTGAGATACCCAATGGTTCAGAACAATACTTCCCAGTGTTCCTATTTCTGTTTCGGGTGAGATAAAAGAAATGCTTATCAAATATGCAAATGACACAAATGTGGATGAGATAGCAAATACTCCAGCAGACCAAAAGGAAATTGAAAACAATCATGATAGGTCAGAAAAATGGACTGAAAGTAACACAATGTAAATGAACAAAGATAAATGCAAAGTTCTTCATGAAGGAAAAAATTTAATATAGCAATATAGAATGTAGAAACATAGCTTGGTACTAGTAGTTGTGAAAACATTCTTGGAACAATAGTTGATTGCAAGCAGTGATTGCAAATTAGTCTAAAGAGATGGACATGTTTGGAGTTCAAATTTGTTTGCTGAATGCAGCAAGAAGAATATAAATTGGAAATAAATTATGCGGGAGAATAAATGAAAGGTTCGTCATTCAGAAGAGTGTTAAGCAAAGATGAGTGTTGTCCTAGTTTGTATGCTCAGTTACCAAGGTCCAGAAAACAGTGGAACCTAGGTGGATTGTTATTGTTCTGGAGGTCTTAGCCTTAGTTGCCATATTTTTTGTTTTCCTTATGTGTGTGGTTTGTTTGGTATTATGATTTATATTATTGTTTGCAAAGTTTGGTCTGCATCCAGAGTCACCATGGCAAGAATGCTGAATAAAATAACAACAATAATACACAACAATAATCAGGTTGTGTAGAGCAAGCAAGTGCAGGCTCTAAGTACTGCAAGAAACTTCGAGGGTCTTAGGAGCAAAAGGTATGGAAGGAGAAGAGTGACATTTTGGGGCAAATGTCATGGGGAGGCCAGGTTGGATGGAAAAGGAAAAATGCAAAGAAATTACAAGGTTTGTCATAATTTCTTTTTTTTTTTGAGAATATCATGCTTTGATGAATAAGAGGTTAATCCAGCCTTTCAAACTTTTTTGGGTAAACTTTTTTTTAATGAGAACTACTTAATTTTTCCAACCATGTACATGTAACTTGCCCAGAACTTGGTATGGTTTCACTGTAGATCACCCAACCACTTCTACCCCAACAATGATACATGCCAGAATTCTGATAGCTCCATTATCTCTTACTGACCTGAGCATCTAATTGATAGATAAGGAGCATTCCTCTCTATTTCTTTACATTTTTATACTCCATACTTCCTTTCCCTCAAAATTAATTACAGGAAGGCTCTGAGATTAAAAAATGCAGCAACTGAAGATAGATGGCACCAAAAACCCTCTTTGTTTTCAAGTATCTTTCCACTAGTTATGATAAACCAATTAATGTCCACAGGATTGTCTTCCTTTTATTCTGGAGCAAAGCAACCACCATAAAAACAGTTTCCAAAAGCCAAGATATTTAAACAAAATAATTATTGATTTATGCAGTTGAAAGGAACCTTTTAAGCCTTCATGTCTAATCCCCTGTTCAGTAACTCCCTAATACAGCTGACAAAGTGAGAAAGAGCCTGTGGCTTAGAGGTTAACACAGCTGCCTAACATATAAGCAGCCCAGGTTCGAATCTCAGAAGGGTATGTTTGGCTGAAGAGAGCTAAGAAGCTCGAAATAGCTATTCCATCCTCCCTTATTCTTTGTTAGCAATCCCCAAAAATGTATGTATGTATGTATGTATGTATGTATGTATGTATGTATATATATGCGAAATATATATATATATATTGTCTACACTTAAATATGTCCAGTGAGGGGAACCCACTATCTATCTGGTAATTGGACCCTGAATGGGGTAGCACCCATCTCTTCTCAGTGTTAAGAAGAGATCCAATAATTGTACTCTACCGCTATGATCCTTCAAGTCAGTTTTGGGTCTTGGTGACTATATGGACAACTCTGTTCAGGTTATACTTTTGACATCTTCTCAGGAGCCTGAGAAAGAGAGATTAGCCCAAGCCAACCCAAAGTCATGCCTGATTTAGATTTCCCTGCTCCTCATCCAGCATCTTTAACCTCTACATCAAACTGGCTCTCATCAATGTATAATTGTATAATGTATAATTCTTCATTATGGATTCACTAAAGGGGGTCCAACATGGCGCAGTGGTTAGAATGCAGTATTGCAGGCTGACTCTGTTCACAGCCAAGGAGTTCAATCCTGACTGGCTCAAAGTTGACTCAGCCTTCCATCCTTCCGAGGTTGATAAAATGAGGACCCAGATTGTTGGGCAATATGCTCACTCTGTAACCGCTAAGAGAGGGGCTGTAAAGCACTATGAAGCGGTATATAAGTCTAAGTGCTATTGCTATTGTTATGTCAGCTCCACAGACCAGCCCAGAGAACCTGATTCCTTCTGTAACACAGGCAGTTGTCTCTGCCCACTTCCTGCCCACCAACATTGCAGCAGATAACATTTTCATCTCCAGTTTCTTTTTTGCTCTTCCTGTGTCTATTTCTTCCCTTTATCTCTAACCTCTTTTTAAGCAGGTCAACCTTGCTCAAGTAACTTAGCCCCATTGCCTCTGATAATGTGGGAATTAATATCTATGCTTTGACTCCAATTTATGGATTTGAATTTAGGCATTTGAAGGGCTGTTTTCTCTCCATGCTTCAAATTTTACATTCAGTTCCTGTCCTCTCATTCTTTTCTAGAGTTTTAAGTAAGTAGCTGCCAGTCTCATCCAAGGTTTAATGTATGCATTTGTGTCTTTGATTAGTCTAATGAAATTATTCTAATTCATCTAATTATTCTAATCTCTGAGTCTTTTCTCATTACTAATTCTTCACATTTGAGAGCCCACGCATAGTTCCATTTTTCTCACTTAAGCAATCCAATTCTTCTCACTACCTGCCATGACTGTGGGTGAAAGAATTTACTGATAGCCCTGTTCTTCTATACAATCAGTCTATATAAGCATCACGTGTGAATAAGGGTGGATGATAACTTGACTGTAGTTTTAGAAATGTAAACCTTATAGAATCATACAATTTGAAGGAACTGAGAAAGTGCCTGAATCTGCTCTTCAGCTTTCCTGTAATACAGAAAGCAACATCCTGCAGGGATGCAGATTCAAAAATTATAAAGGAGGGGAAAGTAATTTGGCACCCCAGATTTTATTGTGAATTTGGGAAAAAAAGCCCCTTGGAGCTTAGCTCCCCTTTCCTGAGCAGTTATTCTGAAGCATGCAGCTTCCATCCTCCTTTTCCTCTTCCTCCTCTTCCTCCTCATCTTCCTCTTCCTCTTCCTGTTCTT